GTTTCCACAAAGCTGGGAGCATGAAATTGTCCTAAATGTTTTGGTATGCCAGAGAACACGTCTCCACAGCACTAGTGGCGGCGTGCTTTTCACCATGTATCTGACGCTTTGCATTGCACTTGGTGATGTAAGGCTTGGATGCAGCTGCTCTGCCATGGAAACCCATTCTATTAAGCTCTCTACGCACTGTTCTAGAGCTAATCTGAAGGCCACACGACATTTGGAGGTCTGTAGCTCTCGGCGCGGAGTCGGCGCATCTGCAGAAGCTGCCAACTTTCTGCATTCAATGATTCGGAAGGGGTGTCTCCATACTTTTGTCAATATAGTGTATACCGTCAGATCACACAGTCCTATTTATCAATGCAGTTATATTGTAAATCAAACGCTGTCAAGCTTTTTGGATGTAAGGAACGGCAAGCTAATGTAGATCATCTGCCTTTTGCTTATTGCTCACACTTAATGGAAGAGCTGGTGGTGGAGGGGGAGTGGTTATCTGCTCTGTCATTTCTGCAGCCATGTAGCCACCAGACTTTCTATGGGCTATGGACTAACACATTTCCAGAACTTGGTCACCATACCAATTATTAAGGGAAACTTACTTAATGTCTTGCAGACCTTGGATAGATATACTGTTGATTTTGTTTACCGTTGTTTATATTTTCCAATTGAGCTAAGAACCCAAGTGGTTTCTTTAGGTCATCCAGAGGTGTTGTTGTGCAAAGTCAGTCGAATCTGAAAATGTACTTTTGGCTTGCATACCAAAAACTTGCAAACAAATTTATCCATTTGGACTGCCAAGAAAAACTTCACATTCGCACTTGTCTTTCTACTTGCATATATTTGCATCTTTTTGTATACCAACTTAATTTAGAAATGTTGGACTTCCCCAACTCCCGTGCACATAGTTGTGCGCTGCCTTGCAAGGCCAGGTGGACCTAATTCAGCAATCAGCTGTAGCACTCCTGGGGCAGAACTACAAGACAGAAAAGGAACAAGGATACACAGCACAGAGAAACGCATATAGCCGTAACAACATTTACCAGATACCAAAACTGGCTTTAGAAAGTCATAAAATATCATATTGAAACCAGGGAAGAAGTCTTTGGATCAGTCCTGAATGAAAGCAAAATGCCAGCATTTTAAGAAATACTTTCCAATTACTTTACATCCAGATCCAAAATATTCTTTATGTTTTTTTTTTTTTTTTTTTTTTTAAACCTGTCCTGCCCAGCAGCCTGGTATAGAGTATAATGACCTGGATACCATATTGTGCCAGACAGATTTTACTTTAACAAGAGAGTATTAAAATACTCCTTTGTCTGTTTTATTATTTATTTAATTATGTATTGATTTGTCACCGGGCCGGACAGGGGGGCAGACACAGGGGTGGGGGGGCACAAACAGACAGCACAGAGAAAGGACAACACCTGCAAGAGAAGGGGGAAAGGGGGATGGAGGGTGGGGACACCAGGGAAAAGCTGTGGGAAACACCAATTGCAGAAAGCAACGAAACCTGCAAGAGAACAGAGAGGGGGGCTTGGGGAGGAGAAAAACAACAACAAACAAACACAAACAAAAAAAACAATAAAAAAAATAATAATAGTAAAAGACAACCAGCCGAACAGCAGCAATAAACAGCTGACATATTAATGACATATTAAGACAATTAAGAGAACAATGAAAACAAGAAACAGTCACACACACTAAATAAGCAACACAACACAGTCACGAGAGCTGGAATAATAATTAATTTAAATAAGTAACTGAAAGAAAGGCATCAGGAATAATTCTACCAGGGACAACCTAAGTTTGTTTGTGTCTGTGTGTGTCTGTGTGCGTGTGGGTGAATGTGTCTGTATGTGTGTGTGTAGATGTGTGTGCGCATAAGCCTGTTAAAGAATGTAGTTGTTAGAGAGAGTGGGACGCCACGACTGTAACAGGCAGGCAAGAACCCCAGTAGCCAATAGGGGTGGAAGAAAGAAAAAGAATAAATCAAATCAAAAAAAACAACCAAAGACTCCCAGATGCACCGCGATGCAAACGCAGAAGACCCCGACCCAAATGCCAGTTGACAACGTAATGCCGACGGAACGCAAAAGAGGAAGAGCAGCCCCCGCGAATCCCGCGTGCGAGGTCGGGCAAATGAGAGAGAGCAAACGGAACAACACGACAGCGAAAGCCAGCGGAGAGAAACACCAGCAGCAAGTCCCAGCCCAGCAGCAAACGCGCCGCACAGGTCACCGTGCACCCGCCAATAAAAGTCCACCGTCCCCCCAACCGCCGGAAAAAAATAAGGCCGCCGGCGCCAGCCGACATCCCCCATGCCCAGCGCGCCCCCGGCCGCCATGCAACACCAGCCAAACCAGCAACGAGGCAAAATCAACTAGCTCAGCTGCATGCCACCAACAACCCACCCATCCATCAAGGGCCGAGAACTCCAGGCACAAACCCAGAACAAACCGGAGCACAGCCCTGCCCCGCACCCACACTGCACATCCCGAAAACTAACTATATACCTCAGTATCCAAAGGGGTCCAACAACTGGCCGACAGAGAAATGGGCAAGCACGGATCCGAGGCCAACGAAGCAAAACAGGAACGCAAACAGGTCCCTCAAAGCCAACGAGGAGATGCCTCCCCCGGACTCCAACGCACAAACTAAACGCCCAGCAGCCATCCAGAGACCCTGCCCAGGGAAAAAGTATAATGCATCAAGATGCATCGATAATCGCCCCACAATCCCACCGCAGACCCCCACCCCCAGAAGCCAGGACACCCTGCGACCCCCCAAAGCGCAAAGGACCCCAGACCGCATGTCCAGGGGGAAGCTGTACCCCGCCCCAAGGAAGAACAGCAGAAAGCCGTGCCGGGAAGCTCGCTACCGCCAGGGAGCGATAACGCGGGAGAACCAGGCCAACGGTCCCCCAACCCAGCCAGAGGCATCCCTCCCTACAGTGCAGCCAGTGACAGCAGCCCCCGAGGCCGATCTCATCCCCGGACAGGGGCCCAGCCCCCCCCAGTCAAGCACCCCCAAGGAGGAGCACCAAAACCTACCCCAATTAGGTTTCTAATGAATAGATCTGAAAATATCGTCAATAATGTATATAAAAACTAAACTACTTTTGTTTCAGGAGAACAATTCTTTTAACCCACTGTGACCCATCCACTTGTGACCTTGATTGTAAGTTGCTTTAGATAAAAGCGTCCGCTAAATGAATAAATGTCTGAATTTGCTCAAATTAAGTAAATTTAAGGAAGTCTGAAACTTTCAGAAATAGCCCTAGTACAAGATTACTCAAAATGGATTTCTGGTCTCTATTATAGGATAAATGGTAATTGTAAAATAATGTGAACATGTGGTCATTTTTAATTATGAAAAAACAGGATTTAAATATGTTTACTTTAGGTTTTGATAATACACCTATAGCTAAGACTCTTCAATCAAGTATCTGTAAAATGGCATTAAAATATTTTTCATCACAAACCCATAATTTTACAGGAAGTTTTCTTTTTTAACCCCATTAAAAGGTGAACACCTGTCATTTAACAATAAATTAAATATTACCTTTCTGTAATTTTACCACTTTGGGGCAATTATATACTATGTTAATCTAACTTGTAATCTAAGAATTATAATAAAATTCAAAAGCTGTGAAATTACAGTAATTATGGCTGTTTTCAATGTTCAAAACTGTTTCGACAGTTTAACAATACTTGTAGACACTATATACTGATTAAAATAACATTTATTCAATGTTTTTATTTTCCAAATATCAATAATTAAAGGAGATATTTGTCAATTAACTAGAAAACCTATGTCAAGTTACAGAAAAAATGTTTTTTGTTACGGTTAACTGTTACTAATTGTACCAAGTTTAAGAAATGTTTTTACAGTATTAAACTTATTTTTAACAGTTTCTTCTTTTAAATAATAAAAATTATTTATATATGTATATATGTTTGTTTACGTAAAAAAACAATATTTTCTTTAAAATAACAGAAATGTTATGGTTAATCACAGCTACAGGTTTTTCATATTATTTTACATTAGACATGTAAATTCACAGTTTATTTTTGCACTTTTTTGATATTTTCATGTATTTCAAAAATACAGGAAAACTGTGAAATAAAAAGGAATAAAACTTTAAAATTACAGATTTTCTTTATAGTGTACTGGAAATTTTTGTAACATTAAAAATACACCATGACAAGTAAAAGCCCTGCATTCAAATGTTTACTTAAGTAAGAGAACACAAGTACCTGCAAAATATAATTAGGTTATTACAAATTAAAGTAAGCCTATTGTTCTAGTCCTCATTTCACCACATGGTAGTGATGTGGGATTATGCACAATATCAATAAGGAGGGACGTGTGTCATTGTTGCAATTACCTGTATGCCATGTTGGAGGCCATGCCTTGCTTCTTTTATTAAAATCAGTAACCATCACAGCCGATCCTGAGTCCTTCTACACATTACACTCACAGTCCTGAATGGCCCCATTCAGAGTGTTTTGTCAGAATATTATCATATAATAATATGTATAATTGGACTATTATTATTGACGCATTATCATGTAACTTGCATATTAATTCATTAATTCATGTAAAATATGAATCTGAAAAATAACTACTAATTGTAGCTGCAGAATAAATATAGTGAAGTAAAAAGTAAAATAGACAGATCCTCATTTACTCCCAGTGATGCAACATTTAGGATCAACAACCTGAGTTGGACTGATGGTGGTGAATAAACTCTTGAAATCTTTGATTCAAATGGAACGAGATCAGAGCTGTAGACTATAAAGTTGGTCACTCAAGGTAAATAACAATTTTGACTACTGGAGAATTTAGTGATATTAATAGACATACATGTTATATTCTATTTCCAAACTTCATGTATCTCATATTCTGCCAATATATTTGTACTGTATATCTATCTATGCCTATTAGAAACTGTGTAGAATAACCAAGATTTATCAAGAAGAATGTGTTTCCTTCAGCTCCTGTGTCCTCTGTCCTGCTGGTCTCTGAGTGTCTGTCCCAGGGAGAGATGAGGGTGTCCTGCTCCTCTGAGGGAGGGGACAGTCCTCAGTACAGCTGGACTCTGGATGGACACACACTGACAGACGCTCAGCTCCTCTCTGGAAAGAATGAGAGTAACAACATCACTCTGAAACAAGATGTGTCAGGACAGCTGGTCTGCTCAGTCAGGAATAACGTCAGTAGTGTCTCCAAAAAAGAGAAGATATCTACCTGTGGTGAGTAGAAAACAGTTTGATTAGTATGACTGACTCTGATTATTAACTGTACATCATTTATCTGATTCTTTTCCACAGGCTTCATATTCATTAACTGCACCATCAATATGACACACATATCACAGTGGGTGCTTGAAGCCAATAACACCCTGTGCATTGAACCAGCAACAACACCTACCATGATCACAGATACTGTGAGCGTCCCCAGCAGTGATGTCCCATGGTACATTAGTGAGTGCAAACTAACCCTACTGCAGTGGATTTATTAAAGTCATTTTCCCTTTTCATTTTTGTCTGTCTCCACCCATAAAGTTTGTTAACTTAAAGATCTGTGTGTCTCTTGTGTCTTTTATTACTGAAAAAGGCAATTTGCCAGTAATCGCCAGCGTACTCTCTGCACTGTTAATTCTGTTGGCAGTTGGGGGGTCAGTCGCCTGTGCTCACAAGAAACAGGAAAACAACAGACCAAAAGGTACTAAACCTGAACCATCATTGCAGTCAGAGATTCTTTTTAGCTCTTTTTACAAATCAAAACAACAGACATTATGGGAAATACACTTTACTGGCTTACGTGCAGAGAGTTAGATCACTGGGTGACACCAGTTTTCTCATCTAGCTCTTAGCAAGAAAGCGAAAAGGCGTATTTCTGATTATGTTAAACTATTCCTTTAACAATTGACTTCTGATATCAAAAGTGATGTGACCTTTCTGTACTGATTTTATCTAATCATTAAATATGATATATTTGTGCCATCACTTCCTTTTACTCTGCAGAAGAAGAAGATGAACAGGAATTAACCTATGCTGATGTCAGGGTTGTGCAGCTGCCTGGGAGACAGCAAAGGGAAGAGGTGGAGGTGGAGTACGGCCAAGTCAAGATTTCACAGTGACCTCGGCAGGCCATTGAACCAACAGGAGATGAATGTGTGTATGCCAAAGTCCGCAGAGGCAGCTGATTCAGTGTTCACTGCACCGCTGAAGGCAGGTGGAGGAGGTGTGCCAAGATGCCTGAAGGTCTTTCACCTTATTTTAATGTGATTTCCAATAGGAAAATAAAAAGCCATCAGTGCTCATATTATTTTATTCACCTTTACTGTACTTCTGGGTTGTGACTGAGCATCAAAGTATCAGCTCCAGCATTTGAATCACAGTGTGGCTAGTTTTTATAGACTAGATTATGTATTATGACTATTTAATATTTTCGTAAGATTATATTTTGCTACAATTTTAATATCTCTTATCGTTAGATGTTCCACTTCCTCATTTTTATTTGTGTCCAATTTATGAGCATCTTTACTTTTATTTCATTATTAAAACACTCTGTAATAATGTATTTATGTATTCTACAATGATTGGCAGACCTGAACAGTACTCTAAACTTCTCTGAACAAGTGGCATCAGTATGTTTATTTTGGTTTATCATCAGTGATTACATGCTTTATCAACAGGATTTGAAGAGATATATCTGTTTTACTGCTCTTTTATATTTGTATTGTTCACTGTAATCTTCTTATTGTTGTTTTTTTTTAGGTAGACAATTTTAAGATCTGTCCAGGGACAACGGATGAAAAATAGCCTTTTGGCAAATTCTGGTACATTTGCAGCAATGTTAATTAATGTACACTGTCCCTGTCAAATAAACTAATAAATAAAATAAATAAATCTTCATGTCAAAGTAATACATTTTGCATTTACATAAATCAAAATCTATTTTTTTAAACAGATGTTGATGGGTGAGTCGAGGGTCAGAGTTTACCAAACAAACTAACATGCTCTTGCATATGCAGATTTATTAAAGGTTCAGTGTGTGAGTGTTAATCTCAAACTCAATCAAGCTGTCTTCCTTTGGTTTTCTGGCCTAACGATAAGTTTTAATTCACAGTATGCACGCATTTGTTTCCATGAGGTAAACACTTTTCTCAAGCATCAGCTTTTAGTCTTACAACATTCGTTTGTCAGTTACATGGTGCGAATTTCAAAGGGTGTTAAAAGCAGCTTTGACAGTTGACGGTAATATATCCCCTCAATGTAATGATAAATATGAGTGGGTGTGTACTTTTAATTTTGCTGCTTGCTCAAATTTTTAAGTTAATGGGGGGGATTAGTCTATTGTAGATGATCCAGACATAGATAATATAGCCTACTGTCTTTTCATCTGAAATTTGAAATATACTTCCACTTTTCAGTGTTTGCTGCTAATAGTCATTTAGCAGCAAAGGAGGAACACCTTTTAATACGAGTGTTGTTCTCTTCCTTTTCCTGCTTTACTGAAACAAGGACAAAACTGAGATGGACAAAGTGTTTTTGTAGAATTTAGTAAACTCAAGCACATGAGGTTCAAGAGGAAAGGGACCTTAGAGCTGATCAGATTCTGATCATGTGATAATTTATCTTTTGACACCATCAAACATGTTTCCTATATTTCGTTTGATGAGTTTCCGTTGACTTTGTGGTTTCCAGTTTAGAATGTAGGTGTCACAACAGAAGTACAGATGTCAATGTTACTCAACTGTAGCAATGGACACTTTGTGTGATGTTTTCATAATTTGAATAATTCAGTGTTGGGGTAAAGTTGAGAGGTTTGTCTGGAAGCTGCTGACTCGGTCAACAGAGGCTGAACACTGAGCAGACATGGAAGCTGTGACTGGACTGTTGCTGATGCTACTCAGAGTCTCTCATGGTGAACTGATTCACTTGTTTAATTGGACACATTTTATACAACTATGGGATAAGGACATTAAAAAATGTCTGCGATCATCTTAAGTGATGCGTTTTGCTTTTCAAACACTGACCTACCCTGGGACCACATTCATACAACAACATTGCAGTCATGAAATGTCATGTGCTATCTTTGGAAACGTGGGGGACTTTACTAGAATTGTAAAATTAAGTCCTGTAAGTTTGAGATAAAGTTTTTCACTCAACACAAGTTTTGATGTTAACTTAAACATCACCACAAAAAATTGTACTCTGGTAACTAAAGTCAAACTGTTTTCCAGTCAGAGGACTGTGATATATTAACAATTCACAAATACAGGATACATAAACATATTGTGATCTAAAAATCTATTTATATTTCATATAATACATTACTATTTGTACATTCCTGAAAATTAGTGGTTTGTATTTTTTTCCAGGTGTGGAAACCTAATGTCAAAAAAATGTAAAAAGTAAAAGGTACTCACCACACTTAATGGCCCCAGTGTTTTTTTATATGTATTATCACACAGTAAGATCATATGTGTTATTGGATTATATTACTGATGCTTTACCAACGTAAGAAGTATTTTAATGTTGGCAAGTTAGTTGCAAGTATGTCGATGCATCATTTAATGAATTTATTTTAAGTTGTATTTTTGTTAAATATGAATCTGAAAAGTAACCACTAAGTATGCATACAATTTTTTCTACTGCAAAATAAATATGTAGAAGTGTTAAGTATAATGTAGAAGTATAATGTAGCGTGTTTCATGTAATGTTGTTTTATGTAAAAGCATGTTTGTATATTAATGGAAGTAACTCAACTGAATTGTTAATGTACTTAAATCACATTTCATCACTGGTCATAGTAATTCTCAGGTGCACAATGTTTATTTCCTGTTTGCAAACTTAAGGAAATTGAATAATTAAAATGGTTAAAATTTTGTGTTTTTTTACAACTTATATTTAAAATTTCCAGGTGTGGAAACATGTGATGGCAGACAGGATGGAGCTTGGAGCTTTGGGAGGAACTGTGGTCCTCCAGCTGATGGACAGCGCCTCAGAAATATTTAAATACCAATTGTTAATAAACTAAACAGTAATACTCCATTGGACAAAAAAGACAATTGTGTCTAATCTGATAATAGACACACTCTAAAAACTATCACTGGGATAAACTTAATTTTATTGGTGAAACATTTTTACACTTAAAAATATGAGTAAATTTAAAAGCTTTGAAATCAAGTAAATATACCTTATGAATTTAGTAAATGTAAGTTAAAAATTAATAACTAACTAATCCTGATAGATAAAACAGAGTAGATCTAATTAAAATCTTAAGTCAATGTAATAGAAACCCTTGGAGATAATAAAATTGAGTAGATATAACTAAAATTCTAAGTAGATATAACTAGAAACAATATTAAATTTTAATTAACAAAACAAATATGCAACATTTACTCAATGATTTACCTGAATATTTAACTATCAATTATCAATATAAATATATGTCACATGTACTTAATTCTTTTAAACTATATTTACCTTTATCTTCATACACAATATATCTCAAGAAAAACAAAGCAACTGAACACATCACATTTTAATTAGACATTTATTTGTCCAATCTGGTTACTTTACAAAAAGACGACATAAATTACAAATGACATACACTATGTAACAATGACCACACTATAAAAACAGTGAGCTCAACTCTGCATATTAGTAAGCTGTCTCTCAAAAATGGTGCAAATGCACCAAGAATAATTGGCTTTTGAATTAACTTAAAGTCCAGTGTGTAGAGAGATTTGCAAAATATGGCAGAAATAGAATGATATTCACAAATATGTTTTCAGTAGTGTATAATCACCTATTATGACCCTTTTTATGTGTACAGACGGCACGGGTCCTCTTGCTCAGAGTCCGCCACGTTGCATAGTCATGTTTCTACAGTAGTGCAGAATGGACAAACCAAAGACTGGCTCTAGGTCGGGCCAAGTGTATAGGAGAAACTACGATGGCAGTGAAACTTCAGAAAAATGGGAAGGCCCTATCTAGAGTCATTGTTTGGTTTGTCCGTTCAGGGCTACTATAGTAACATGGTGGACTTGACGCGTGCAGTCTGTAGAATAGACAATTTATTAGGTACACCTCGAACAATCTACTGCTTTGCTAAAAAGTCCACCAAAATATGTAGTTGAATCCTAATTTTAAGCCTGATCTGATTCCATAACTTTCAGACTGCATGTTACAAGAAATTGACACACAAAGAGTACTCCCTCCCTGCTCATTCCCTGTGCTTCTCCTTTGCATGTTTGTGATCTCATCTCAGTCATCAATGAATACATTAGTTAAAACTTCAAAACGAACACTTAAAAATCCTGAAAACTATTTTACTAACCTCAAAGTCCTTCATCAAGGCACTTGCATCTTCTCCCGGATGGTCAATGAGACATCGGATGATGGCCTTTCGTTTTTGTAGAATGAAGATTCCACTCTGCAGAACAGAAAGTATTTAAACAACTAATAAAACCTGAACATTCAAGCAGAATTTTGCTTTACTGCACCCACTTTATTGTCAAAATGGTTTCAATTGAATTAACATTAGATAAATGAAACATCAGCGTATAGAACCGGTATTTGTGGAGTGATCCAAAGTAGATGCAAGATGGAAAACTCAGTCATGGCACAGATGAACAGGAAGATGCATGACCATGACCAGAATGAAGGACAGAAAAAGCAAATAATGTTAAATCTAGGGCAGGTAAGATTTTTTTTAAATAACCATTCATTTTTTCCTGACAGTAGTACATGAGACAGATAAGGTGGCTACCTCCACTCCAGAGGGAATACAATTGTAGTGCCTGAAGTAGAATACTCACTTCTGCCTGAATGAGAAAGATGAGAAAAAAGACAGAAAGAGCTGGTAACACAATCTATTATCATTTCAAGTCTTCAAAAACACATGCAGGCTTTCTGTCTGTAACTTCTGTGTTTACCTCTACAAAAAGTCTATTTACTCACGTGCGAGACATCAAACAAGGCAGGCCATCACCAGGACCTGTAATGGCAGCAAACAATGAATGTAGTGTTAAATGCAAAATATCCGATAGCAATATAATAGTTTATATTTTTATGTCCTTGGTAGTTGTAACTAGTTTCTGTTTACAGTAAATGCCAGAGATGGGGACTCGAGTTAGAGACTCGGACTGGAGTGCGACTTAAGTTGCACATACAGTGACTTGAGACTTGACTTGAGACTCGTCCTCAAAAGACTTCAGACTCGACTTGGACTCGAGGTGTGGGACTCGTGAACAATATTTATTTTTTAGGAAACTTCTGATGAGCTTACTGTTATTCCCTCCCTCCGATACCTATAACCTGCCTACGTAACACATGCTGTAACACTGCTGCGCGGCCACACGTGAGAGAGGACAACAAACAGCGGCAGCTGCTGAGCCATTCATCATAAACTTTGGCGGTGAGTTAACATCACCAACTCAGCATTGGCCATCTACCGTTAGCTCGCTTCTTGCTTTAGCTACGACCTACGAGAGGTTTACTCCGACTGTCGTTCGTTATGAAAAGATGAATGAGAGTTTGTTTACTTCCCAAACTTGTGATAGTCGATAACGTAATCATTTACGTCCCGCTGGCTGCCATCACCTTAATTATTACCGTTGGCTAGAAAGAAATTACAGGTTTATTGTTGTTACACTGGTTTGAGAGTGGGGGATGTGTTGGCTTACAGTAGTTTAGGCTGTCATTGACTGCATTGCACATTACATGGTTGTGCTCTGTAAGTTAAAAACAGGTTACAGGTTTATTGTTGATTATGCAACGTCACAGTTTTATTTAATTAATGTTACACTAGGTTTAAGAGTCTGGGGAGTGTGTTGACTTACAATATTTAATAAGTGTTGTTGAAGTCTGACTGGCTATCACTCCCTGACCCAGTGTTTTAGTATACATCGTCATGTCATAAAACAATAAAACAAAAGTGTAGGTCAGTCCATGATTGGCCCACGTCCTCTGACCCCAACGTTTGTCATCTGATCATGCAGAGACCCCCTGTTTCTGCACCTCTCCAAAAAACACACACATCAGGTCTAGTTTAATAAATGATAAACCAACATATAAACTTCTACCTATAAAATACATCAGAGATCAATATAAGTAAACACAATACTAGTGGTTCCACTGAGTAATACAAAAATCATACTATCATAATCTCTCACAAGCCATCAATAATTGCATTGCACATTACATGGTTGTGCTCTGTAAATGGAAAAAACAGGTTACAGTTACAGTATTCCTTATAGCTATGCAGTTTTATAAGCAACCTGGATTGAACACAGCAGGTGACACAGAGACTTGAGACTTGACTTGGACTCTAGCTCAAAGACTTGTGAGCATCTCTGGCAAATGCAATCCTACATGGTCAAAATTAAGGTGCTACTCACTTTGCAAATTTACTGCTTTCCTAAATTTGTGTAAACCAAATTAAATGTGTTGGGATCCCTGTTTTAATGCTACACATTTAATCCTCCAGGAACACTATAATCAAAGGATGAAATCTACCTGCGGTTTTGTTATCTTCATTCAGCTTCTTTCCTCAGTGGTGTTGGTGCTGTGAAACAAATAAAATAAGATAATAAAATAATAATACTTGACAATCAATTCAACTTCTCTTGCTCTAGCCATTATTAAGTGTTTTCCAAAATTATGACAAAACTTAGGTTGGAGAAAGAGGGAACTCTTCTAAATAAAAAATATAAAATACCTTAGAGCAAGGATTAAAAATGTAACTGTTGGAGAGAGACTGGAGAAAACTTAACATACAGTAGCCTAGCTGCAGGTGTGGAGCAGCAGGCACAGGTTATCATTAGGATTATATTATATAAATATGAGAGTAAATGTTTATGTCTCTAGTGCAGCAACAGTAAAGTTTACAACAGCAAAGTCACTACATACACTCAATAACACTCACTGGAAAAATATGTAAATAAAAATTAAATGTCAATAAAATAAATCATAGTGACATCAAAATACTGTGACTTGAGACTTAAAATCCCCGATTATACAAAATGTACCTGTAATCAATGTCTATTTTTTCTGTACTGTAATGGAATACAGTAACATTTTTTTGGGATCCCGATAACATAGCGCCTTTACATGTAATCCGTAACCCCCCAACCCTGTCTGTACCCAACCTTCAATGGCAATACAGCAACGCAGCATGGCAAAGAAAATTAGATCAATGTCATCACACTCATGGACAGCAGAGGACATAGAGGCCTGGTCGTGCACCCTGACCATCCTTGGTTGGGAGCCAGCCCAGATGGAACCCTTGATTCAACACAACTCCTTGAGATCAAGTGCCCTTTCAAGAGTTCCATGTCCCTGACAGAATTTCAAACCCCGGTTGCCTCAGCCTTTCTGTGTGGAGTTTGCATGTTCTACCTGAGTCTGCGTGGGTTCCCTCCGGGTGCTCCAGCTTCCTCCCACTGTCCAAAGATGCGGACAAGGTTGTCCTTAGGTGTGAGTGGTTGTTATGTGTGGCCTTGCAATATATATAGCGAATATTCTCAAAATAGATATTCTGTAAATGTTGACAAAAAGAGGGAATGAAATTAGCACCTGCCAGGTGCAGGATAAAATTTAACACGAGGTAAAAATATCAGGCCACCTATCTACCACCATTGCAGACAGTTTTTCTTATATTAATAAGAAATTCAAGAATAGTTCAGGTGTTTCCCAAACTAACTAGTTAACTACTGTTAACGTTACCTGTTGTTGTGACTTTTCGAGTCCTGGGTCGCCTTCTCTTCTCTGGTGGCTTCTCGTAACCCAGAAAAAGCGTTGGGTACGGGTTATCCTGTGTTGGCTTCTTGTCAGCGAACTGAAACGAGCACACAAACAGGTGTTTGGGGGGCTTATTTAAGTTTACGTTCTTAAGCCATATTCTTTTTGATTCGTCGTCTTCTGGGAGGCGATGGAAACTGTACCATCGCTGGCAGGAAAGGCGAGGAGATGCACATGCCTCCTCAGAATCAGTTAGTTTGTTATGCTTTATTGTTGTCACGATCCTGTCTGTGTGTCTTGTTGGGGAGTCTGGTTGTGTGGTTCTGGTCTGATCTGTTTAGTTTCATAATTCTTTTGATTATTCTGCTTTAGTCTGTTCTCGTTATTCGGTTTGCCTGTCTGTCCTGTTATAGTTTTTGCCTTTTGATGTTTAATTTATGTTTCTGCATTTTGATTTGCTTCTGTATGTTTCCTCGGTGATCACTCTGCTTGCCTGTGTGTCTGTGTGGTTGATTAGTCCCTCATGTCTCTCACCTGTATTGCTCCTGACCAGCTCGTTAACTCTGTGTGTGTGTGTGTGTCTATGCTTACTCGTTTCCCTCAGTCTTTGTCTGCTCATTGTTGTAGCTTCATGTTGCCCTGTCATGTGTTGCTTGGTCTCGTCTCGTGCTCTGTCTGTCTGGGATACCCGTTGGATTACCTATTTCATTTGGATTCTTTTATTTGGATTTCTTGGGACTCAGCCGCTCTTAGTAAGTGTGCTCGCTTTTTGTTGTTTAATAAACCCTTTTGAACTGTACCTGCTCCACTCAGTGTCCTGCATTTGGATCCACCAACCTTTTCCACCACACCCAACGCTGACAATTGTTGATAAAGTAGAAGATTTAAAATTGCTTAAGTCACAAAAACATGTTCAAAAAGTAATTTATTCCTCTTATGTTACATAATTGACATGCATTGTTATTAGTATGTCAATAGTTATCAATTGTCATGAACTTTTTTTAGAAAAAATATTAATACATATCTTATCTTCAATATTGTTTTAGTTTTTTGTGCTTTCTGAACAATCTGAAAAAATGACTTAGGCCATTATTTTAGGAGGGTGACTACTCTACATATATCTATGCCTGTTCTGTATTAGAAACTTTATAGAATAACCAAGACTTAATTTGAAAAGTCATCTGTGTGTGTTACAGGTCTCAGATAGAGAACCCATAAACAGAGGTTTTCCTGTAAAACAGGAGAAAGACTGAGACAGGCGACAGTTGCTTGTTCCCGTTGCAGCTCCGCTCAGTATCAGTGATACACAAAATCTCTTATTTTCAGTATTTTGTTTTCTGTATCAAAATGGTTATTAATACAAACATTCACTGTACGAAATATAAACAAAATATCTCTGCTGTTACAATAGAGGATATGCGTTGATGTCACATCCCCTTCCGGAACACGCTGGACTGAGTGGCAAAACATCTGTTACCATGGCTGCGTTTAGCAAGCCCCGCCCCCCTTAGTTACTGTTGCTAAGTCCGACAAAGTGGCGCTGCCACTGTCTATTACTGCACTCCCAGAGAAATACTGTCACATTTGTTGGAAAAAGCGATCTCAGAAAGAAGCAGACAGTTTTGCAGTTGCATTATACATTTGAAGGTTGTATTCAGGCTGTCAAACTGACTCAAATGAGAAAAAAATGAAAGATAGGAGCTAAAGCCTACCGATCACACAGTACAAGACAAAAGACAACGATATAACGACAACAACACTGTTCCTGTAAAGCTGGGTAGGCCTCTGTTCATTATTACAATCATTAAAAAGCAGAACAGTAGGGCTTTATTACGTTACACTCAGTAGGAAGTTAGCATTAACATTACATTAGGAACAATCCACAGCCAACATTTTTCTGGATTTATTTCAGGTTTTGGAAAGAGAATAAATCGTACTTCTCCCTTCAACCTCTCTGGGTAGCGACTGTAATTATTACAAGTGCCCCAGGAACAGCGTTTGACCATATCTTAGAAAAATACAGCCAAAAAAGCTAGAAAACAAATCCTTTTGCATTAGAGTCAATGGAGCGCAGCCATGAAAGTGTCGGACCTCAGTTAGAGTGACTCCTATACTGCGCTGTGATTGCCAGCTGTGTATTTGGGGCGTGGCTTAGCGAAGGGTCAATTCTTCTTCTTTAAACACACATCCTCCTTTTCCCACTCACCAGTAAAAGAAGTACAATCAGTATGCTATTGCATCACTAAATCCTCATTCTGTCTGTTAACTGAGTCAACATTTCATTTTGTTTACAATTACAGAATTTTCCCAGTTCTTAACTATTCACTTACTCCACATTACTCACAGGATAAATATCAGAAGAGTCAAGTGACCAGCTGGACAAGATGGTAGGCTTTTTGGTCCTGGTCTGGCCTCGCTCTTGGCGAGCATTGGAGCGGTGAAAGCAGATATTTCGGCTCTGAAGAGCACTGTCAAAGAAAACTTGTGGGCAGACGCTAAACACGAGAAGGCGCTGCATGCACTTGAACTTAAACTGGCGGATATGGAGGACAGGAATAGACGCTGCAATGTTCGCATCATCGGCTTGAAAGAGGGGGTCGAGGGGTCAAACGGTGTGCAATATCTAAATCGGACACTACCGGAGTGGTTCTCGTCTCTCCAGAATGGGCAGCCAGAGATAATGAGGGGCCCATGACGAACGCGCTGCCCGAGACAGGCCCCGCACTCTCATATTCAACGTCCTTCGCTATACCACACGGCAGGCTATTCTCTGAGCTGCGAAGAAGGACCTGGTCACTGTGGACGGCAAGAGAGTGAGATATGCCGCTGATTACAGTAATCACACAGTCCCAGGCCATGGACACTGCACGAGAAAGAGGAGTTGAATTTTTTCTCCTCTACCTGGCGACCCTGACAATCAAAGACGAGGCGGATTATCGTGTTTTCAAAAATCCAGCGAAGCAGAGGATTTCCTCAACTCCCTGCTGATGACGACGCAGGAGAGATCTCCTCGGGCGCTGGCCAGCGAGGCGGCCAACACCACTCAGGCGGCTGTTGGGGACCCATAACAGTCCCTAATCACAGTTACACTATACTTTGTGCTGTATATCCCAGACATGTTAAATAGTCTGGTACACTCTTATACCATTCTCAGTCCCTCACCTCACGGTTTATGCACCTAGTTTTAAGTATTGCAGCAATGACTTTCCTGGAATTTTTTTTGTTGTAATTTAATCCGGGGAGGGGTGAGGCTTGTGGCTACTGTCCTATTCCCCCCCCCTATTTCCAACTATGGCCACGGAGACAAGTAATAGTGGAGGGTTGGCATGTTTTTGCTCTCTTGGCGGGCTGGGCCGGGTGGGGGGTGGGTTAAAATGTCATGTGTTGTGTCTCTTCTTTTTATTTGTTGTAATATGGAGCGGCTCACATTGTGGATCTTGTGTTTACTTTCCTTTTGTATGGAGGGGGAGGGGCTTGACTGGATCAATATATATACCTGTACTATACTGTATGGGCTCATTTTTTCTAATGGTCACAGGTGCTGTTTTCATGTCTCTGGCAGCATTAACACCCTAAATTATGCCTGAATTTAATGTTTTGAGCTGGAACGCAGGCGGTTTGAATAGCCCTCACAAAAGGATTAGCACTCTGGGTTTATTGCGCAGAAGGAGAATTGACAGTGCATTAGTACAGGAAAAGCATCTCCTGGATGCGGATATTAGACTCCTGGCAGATAAACATTATCATGTGATAGCTTCCTCCACAGCTGGTACAAAGACCAAGGGTGTGGCTGTCGTAGCCAGACGTAGTTTTAAAATTAAAATCCAAGACACGTTATATTAGGAGTAATGCCACACTGTTTGCCTTTAACCACCCTTTTCTCAGAACAGATAGTCTCGCAGCATGAGGTGGTCAAAAAAGATATTAACATAATCCTCAGATGCCAGTCAGAGTTTTTAATCCACAGGTCTAGGCAACGGTACTATTTTCAGGGGTCAAGGCCCAGCCACGTGTTGTCGCTCGCTGTATTGTGTCGGGTATTTGTTTTTGAGGTGCCGTATCAGGTTTGTTGTGTTAAATGTAGTCTTTTCCTTTCCACCTCTTGCAATTCCTAGTTTACATATCTCACAGTTTGCTATGGCAATGTTGTTGTCATCAACTTTGTAATACCTCCAGACCGCAGACATACTCGCACTTTCTGCTTCAAGCTGCTTCCGTCATGCCGCACGCGTTGCTGTTTCTGTGTGCGGTCTAACTCTGTGCCACCGTATAACTATGTGTATATGATGATCTATATGATGCAACGGGGCAAATTCAATGGATGTACATTTGTTTTAGGTTTGAATGAAAATAATAAAAAAATTTGATCTATAGAAAAAAGGATAACTACCAGAAAACTAATGGTGCATTCAGACCGAAAGCGAAGCGAGGGCGGTGAGTTTACATACAAAGTCAATGCAAAGACGCGTAGAGCCACGATTTCCTGTCAGGCGGCGCAAAGCGACGCGAAGGGGGCGGGGCTGGCAACGCGAAGGCAAAGCGACGGCAACGCAAAGGAATTGGCGTGAGTTGAATATTTTTAACTCAAGAAAGAAATTGCATGACACTGTGCTGCTATAGCCTATCAATGTTGAGATTTATGTACGTCACCGACAGCTTCAGAGCGTTGTGTGGAGAGGGCCAGGCAGAGTGCTCCAGCTTCGGACAAATAAACACCTGTGGTCTGACTGGACTGCTCGCTACTACGCCGTTTGCTCGAGGGAAGAGCTCGGAGTAAACTGCTTTTATTAAATTAACTTTTTACTTTAGTTTTTAGGATTACAACGTTGATTTATCTTCACTCGAGCTTCCGTGCACATCTGATTCCAGTGTTGTTAGCATCGTTTGGCACTACTTCATATTTATATAAATAACGGACAAAACTGGACATTACTGGGAGAAAAGAAAGCGAGGAGGTTGAACTACCTGGTGAGTTCAGAAAGCACGTGTATGTAACTTTATTCCAGCTATCGTACTGTGACCAAGTTAGCATAGCCTAGCCCTGATCGATCCGAACTCCATTCAGAAAACAAACATTTTAGAAGTTGTTGTCCGGCTCTCTTGCTGACAGACCTGACAAAGCATGACTTCATATGTTTAACACAACTGCATCATGTTGTAGTTATTTCGGCACCAGTTTGATCCGTTTATTGCTATTTAATCGCAACAAAATGTTAACTTTGGGTTCATACAGCTGTAGTAATGGCAAGTTGTGTTTATTAACGTTATGGCGTTAAAATCGCTTTCTGGCGTTGAGTGTGAACACTTGCAGCGATTGTACTCACGCGAGGAAAGCGTCGCGAGGTGAAAATTCGCATTTGGATTGAAAGCACAGTCACACATTGTCACTCGCGATTGTTTTTATCAAACAGAAAAAAAGCTAGCATATTGCTACTTATGACAGTTTGGTACAAATGAGTGAGTTTAGACCTTACAAAGTCAAACTTGAAGGAACAATATACACACTACACACATTACACCAACTGTAACACCAAAGAAAATTATATTTAACCCCAAAATAGATAGATAATATCACATGGGGGAAACACATTTTCTGCCTTCCTCTACAAAACCATGAAAATTTACAAAATACCTTCCACACAGCGTTATAACACTTTATTTAAATGTCAGCAACATGCACATGTAGTTATACATTGTTTTAAAACTTTATCAACCCGTGAGACAGACAACAGTTGCTTGTTCATGTTGCAGCTCCGCTCAGAAGACTGAGAAAGCAACAAGTCCGTGCGGGAACAAAACGTCACACTGCCCCCTGCTGGCAACACTGGAATGTCTCTTAATGTCATCAAAGAATATAATAAACGGCCTCTATGGTTCAAAACAGAATATCCTTGCAGAATTAAGTGTTAAAATAAAACTAAACATTACATAAAATGTGCCTTCAGCTCCTGTGTCCCCTGTCCTGCTGGTCTCTGAGTGTCTGTCCCAGGGAGAGATGAGGGTGTACCACCTCACTGTAACAGGGAAACTTGCTACTGAACATAGACTGTGTCTGCTGCTCCCTGATAAAAGAAAAATGTTTCTGCAGATACCTGAAAATGTAAACTTGTTTTAACAAGCTAGATAAAAGGTAATGCCCTGGCAGTGGCAAATAGCGTTGGTTTAATATTTGATTTGATTACATTAATGTTTAAGTTGAGATTTACAAGAAATATTTTATTGCTACTATGTAAAGGGAATACTGGTAAAAAGCACCTTATTGGTTTAAAGTGTTTGCAAACCACATGTTATTGCACTTTCGTGTATATAGATGTAGCTACATTTAAATCAAGTGTGCAATACACTATTTTAGAATTCATTATTCAATTTTGCGCGTAACAATGCGATTAATCACGATTAAAAATTGTAATCGTTGCCCAGCACTAGTTCTATTACATAAAGTATATATCTAACTTTATGAAAAACATATTGGTCGAGCTCAGGCAGCTTTATTGTATTAAATATAGATATATTAACAACATGTGACATGCGGGAAATGTCCACCCTGTTAAGGACTTAGACATAACTGTTTAAAAGTGTTTTCAGGGTATGATTGCTACTAAAGTTTTAGAAATTTTTGTAGAAATCATATGTCCCTCACTCTTATTAGATATTTCTTTTACAATAAAATATTTTTTAAACAGCAAGCCTATAATGAGTAAAGCAAGCACACATAATGAAAAGGGGGACGTATTTTCGTACTTTTTTTCTCAAGAAAAGTGAATTATAAGAATTACTCAATGTCTCTTGCCTGTGTTGTCAATCCCTTCCATATCTTTATGTAAATACAAATACACTTAATATTTGGTAATTTCAATAAACTATGAAGGAAAAATACCAACATAACAGGGTGGACAGAGGTCTATTAGCATAACAGGGTGGACAAAACACCAGTATATACTATAGAAATGTCCACTCTTTTAGTGCACCCTGTTGAAATACTAACTGGGTGGACATTTTGAGCTAAAGTTAGCCTTTTACCTGACTGTGTGAGCATAATGGCTAGCATGACCTTCAGTACTAGATGAGGAATCTATAATTTAGGAATTATTTAATTTGATTGATTTCCTCAAAACTTAGGCCTAACAGGGTGGACATGTTATGATCAAACACATTAAACTGTCATGTCAAGATCAGATAGTAAGAGAGCTAGAAAATCACACAGCTAAATTCCCCTGCACTGGTGTGATGTCACCTAATGAGAGTGATGTCAATAAAAAAAAAAAAAGTTTTCCACTTAAAGGGACAGTTAATGCAACTTAACAGGGTGGACATGGTCACTGGGGACAAACATAATTTTGATAAAAACAACATTTAAATAGATTTTGATCAGGAAAAGAAGATATAAAATATAAATATAAATATTTAGATATACATATGTTTTTATAAGGTTTTTTGAAAGTTGAATGATCAACTCTGGTGACATAAACAAAAAAACCATAGTACCTCTTAAACCAAAGCTTTTAAAATGTAAATAAAACAACTTAGAAGCCAATCTCATTGTAATCATAATTAATAACAATTACCCTTACATAAAAAACCAAATGGAACTAGTATTTGTCCAAATTTAGACAAAATACAACATGATTTGTACTGGGGACGCAAAAGGCACCGTATAAACAGTTGACTCAGGGAGGGAACAGTCATCAGTACAGCTGGACTCTGGATGGGCACACACTGACAGATGCTCCTCTCTGGAAACAATGAGAGTAACAACATCACTCTGAAACAAGACATCTCAGGACAGCTAGTCTGCTCAGTCAGGAATAACGTCAGTAGTGTCTGGAAAGAAGAGAAGATATCTACCTGTGGTGAGGGAGAACATGAGTAGAAAACAATTTGATTCATTTGACACTGATGATTAACTGTACATCATGTAGCTGTTTCTTTTTTTATAGGCTTCATATTCATTAACTGTATCTTACCCAATGGGACACATCACATATGGTGTTTGAAGCCAATGGCACCCTGTGTATTGAGCCAACAACAACACCTACCACAGACACTACTGCGGGTAAGGACACTGGCCTAGTGTCCATTAAACCCTCCACTATAATATATCATCTTCCAATCAGCTGCAAGGGTCCCCAAAGGTGATGACCCATGTTACAATAGTACATAAAAACTAACTCCTGGTACTCCTGTTCACTCCTGTCACAGCAATAACTTGACAATAGATTTTTGTGTCTCTTTACCTGAACAGATCTCTCCCAACTCATATGAGGTGTGCAAGCAGCTGTAGTGATTCTCTTATTAATTGGGATCGCTGTCTAGCTGAAGGCTCTGCCAGCCCTCGAACAATGAAATATCAAGAGAATTCTGTTGTGATGGTTGAAATGAGAAGTTCTGCATCTGAACTTTAACTTTCTGAAACCAACACCTTTTTGTACAGATTGGAAAGTCTTTTCTTTTGTATCACTGTGGAAGCTCTGATAGAACAAAGATTATTGTAGTCTTCACTCTGTCA